GCTTCTCTCAGGAGCTCTTGTAAAGCAGGTCTGGTGGTGATGAAATCTCTGAGTAATTGCTTGTTTGTAAAGGATTTTATTTCTCCTTCACTTGTAAAGCTTAGTTTGGCTGGATATGAAATTCTGGATTGAAACTTTTTTTCTTTAAGGATGGTGAATATTGGCCCCCACTCTCTTCTGGCTTGCAGGGTTTCTGCTGAGAGATCTGCTGTGAGTCTGATGGGCTTCCCTTTGTGGGTAACCCGACGTTTCTCTCTGGCTGCCCTTAGCATTTTCTCCTTCATTTCAACCCTGATGAATCTGATGATTATGTGAGTTGACGTTGCTGTTCTTCAGGAATACCTTTGTGGTGTTCTCTGTATTTCCTGGACTTGGATATTGGCCTGCCTTGCTAGGTTGGGGAAGTTTTCCTGGATAATATCCTTTTGCAGCTTGGATTCATTCTCTCCGTCACATTCAGGTACCCCTATCAAACGCAGATTAGATCTTTTCACATAGTCCCATATTTCTTGGAGACTTTGTTCATTTCTTTTTACCCTTTTTTCTTTAATCTTGCCTTCTCATTTTAATTCATTGAGTTCATCTTCGACCTCTGATAACCTTTCTTCTGCTTCGTCAATTCAGCTTTTGAAACTTGTGTATGCTTCGCGAAGTTCTCGTGCTGTGTTTTTCAGCTCCATCAATTCACTTATATTCCTCTCTAAGCTGTTTATTCTCGTTAGCATTTCATCGAATCGTTTTTCAAGGTTCTTAGTTTCTTTGCATTGGGTTAGAACATGTTCTTTTAGCTCAGATAAGTTTCTTATTACCCACCTTCTGAAGCATGTTTTTGTCAATTCATCACATTCATTCTTCATATAGTCTTGTTCCCTTGCTGGTGAGGAGTTGTGATTCCTTGGAGGAGGAGAGGCGTTCTGTTTTGGGGTGTTTTTATCCTTTGTGTGCTGGTTTCTTCCCATCTTTGTGTATTTATCCACCTGTCGTCTTTGTAGTTGTTGACTTTCAGATTGGGTCTCTGAGTGGACGTTCTGTTTGTTGATGATGAAGTTATTTCTGTTTCTTAGTTTTCCTCCTAACAGTCTGGCCCCTCTGCTGTAGGACTGCTGAGGTCCACTCCAGGCCCTGCTTGCCTGGGCTTCACCTGCAGCAGCTGCAGAACAGTAAGGGTTGCTGCAAGTTTCTTCTTTTGCTATCTTTGTCCCAGAAGGATACCTGCCAGATGTCAGTCTGAGCTCTCCTTTATGAGGTGACTCTTTGGATATCTGGGGGTCAGGGAGCTGCTTGAAGAGACAGTCTGTCCTTTATAGGAGCTCAAGTGCTGAGCTGTGAGCTCTGTTGTTCATTCAGAGCTGCTGGGCAGGTACGTTTAAGTCTGCTGTAGCAGAACTCATAAACGCCTTTCTTTTCTTCCCCAGGTGCTGTCCCAGGGACTTAGGGCTTTATTTATAAGTTTTTGTTGTGCTTCTGCCTTCTTTCAGGGCTGCTGTGCCCAGCAAGGAGGCAGCCTAGTCACAGTCTGTCTGCAGAGGCTTTGCTGAGCTGCTGTGGGCTCCGCCCAGCTTCCATGTGAACTTCCCTGCAGTCCCTCCACGCTTTTGCTGGGAGCTGCAATCCCGAGCTGCTCCTAATCGGCCATCTTGGATCAGTCTCCTATGCTGTTATTTCAGTTACATAGATTTTAAAATCTCCCACCATGATTGTGGATTTGTTCATTAATCATTATAGGCATATTAACATTTGCTTTAAATGTTTGAAGCTATAGTCTTAGGTGTATACAAATTGTGCGTAAAACTTGTTGCATTAAATTCTTCATAAAATTATTTTGGTGCCTAAAAATTGTTCTTGCTGACAAAAATTCAAATCCTTTATTGAGCATGTCTCCCTCAGTCTGTAGTAATAATTTTTTCCTAAATCTAGTCTGACATTAACAATATCAATACCAGCTTTCTTTGGTTAGTGTTAGCATGTTATATTCTGACTATTATTTTACTTTTAATCTTTCTATATCCTAATATTTTAGATGTTATAGGGACATGCTGTTGGATTTTGCTTTTTAAGCAGTCTGGCCGTGTTATTAGGCTGTTTTTTGCATTGCTATAAAGAAATACCTGAGATTGGATAATTTATAAAGAAAATTGGTTTAATTGGCTCACAATTTTGTGTTCTATACAGGGGAAGTGTAGTGTAGGCAGCTGCTTGGCTTCTGGGGAGGCCTCAGTTAGCTTGTAATCATGGCAGAAGGTGAAGCGGGACCAGGCATGTCACATGGCCAAAGCAAGGATGGGGAAGGAGCCACACACTTACAGCCAGATTTTGGGAAAGCTCACTCACTACCACTAGGTAACACCAGACCATGAGGGGTCCACCCCTATGACCTAAACACCTCCCCGCTAGCCCTCCTCCAACACTAGGGATTACATCTCAAGGTGAGATTTGGAGGGGACATCCAAACTATATCACAGTCTTTCTACTTACACTTAATGGAATTCCCAGCACATGGGGGTTTGAATCTGCTTACTTTATTTGCTTTTTATTTTTTTCACCTAGATTTTGTTCTTTTTCTTTAGGCATTCTTTGAGATTGTTGAAGGGTTTTATATGATTCCAATTTTCTCTGTTGATTTGGTAATTATATATACTATTTTAATGATTACTCAAATAATTATAAACTGTGCCTTGGCTTACTGATATTTAGTAAAAATTCTTCATTTACTTTGTCTTATTTGGCATCCCAAGGATCACAAAATACTCAATTTACTCCAGACTTAAAAGCTTTTCTTGTTTTATGTTTTATCTCTGTATTTAAACCTTACAAGACATGATGATGATTTATAAATAACCAATATATATTTCTGATCTTTCATCTGAGATTAGTTTTCTTTTTAAAGAATATCCCTACTTTTTTTTTTTTTTTTTTTTATGTAAGGGACTGGTGATAATGAATTTTCTGTTTGTTGTCGCTCTAAAATGTTTTTATTTCCCTGTTATTCTTGATGTGTCTTGATGTGTATTTTTGCTTGCTATAGAATTGTTAGGAGTAACTTTTAGCACTTTGAATGTATTTTTTTCATGTCATTTCATTTCAAAAGTTGGCTATCAGTCTTTTGTTATTTTCTCTTTGATTTTTATCCATTTTACTGCGATGTGCTTGGGTAGCTTTTGTTTTACTTTACAGTTTAGAGGAGAAATCATTGAAATAATTTGAGGCTAAGGGAGATGATATCTTCCAGACTGGATTTATGTCTCCTTCTGATAGGGAGCACGGTACACTAGCAATTGCAGATCACTTTAATTCATTTACTGGACTTGAGCTGATTGGAGCTGAGCCTCATCCATATGAGAACCAGTCAGATGTTGGTTTACCTTTACTGCTGCGTGTATCCCTTTGTGGTCTCATCCCAAAGCATGAATGTTTTACTTTGATGTCTTTCTTTCTCTCTCTCTCTCTCTCTCTCTCTCTCTCTCTCTCTCTCTCACACACACACACACACACACACACACACACTGAACCCACCCCAATACCAGTATTTCATTGACAGATTCAGTTTTTATACCTGTATTCCCACAAGAATAGCTTTGTTTAGCCTTTTCTTGAAGGAGCAGATACCCTTAGGGAACAGCATCCCCAATGTTGGGCTTACCTCTCTGGGTTACTTTTTTCTCTTAAATTTTGGCCCCATAAATTTACACTGCTTTTTATTATTTCATTTATTTTTTATTTTATTTACACTGCTTTTTAAGCTTGCTAGTGCTTTCAAAGAGATGTTTTTGAATACACTGTTCTGTTCTAATTGTTCTTAGTAAGAGGCTGGTTTACATTACCTAGTCTGCTGTTAACTAGAGACAGAATTTTTAACATGTGTTTTTTTGTTGTTGTTAGTTTTATGTTTTTTAACTGTTATGCTCATTTCATTTTTTTACTCATGATTCCTGTTTATGTCTTGCTTATAAATAATTCTAACAGTTGAATGAAATTACTAAGAATTATACTTGTTATCACAATAACTCAGTTTTTTAATCTTAGTATCTTAAATTTTGGATTAAAATTATTTGATTTAGTTTTACCATGTCATTCCTGATGATTTTTTTAAAATAAACAATAATCCATTTTATAAATAACCTGGTACTATATAGTTAAAGTTGATAGCAGCTGTCTTTTTCATTAGGATATTTAGCTGGTATACCCTTAATTTTTTTGTTGCTGTTAAATCCTACATCATGCTTATAAAGATCAAATGAATACAGTAGACCCCTCTTTTTCACAGTTTTCCTTTCTGCAGTTTTAGTTACCTATGGTCAACTGTGGCACAAAAATATTCAATGAAAAATTCCAGAAATAGTTTATAAGTTTCAAATTATATGTCATTCTTAGTAGCATGATGGAATCTTCCCACCACCTCGCTCCATCCTGGTGGGATGTGAGTCTTTCTTTTGTCCAACTTCTCCACCCGTATTCACTTGTTGCCCATTAGTCATTTAGTAACGTTTGGTGATCAGATCAACTCCAGTGATACCGCAGTGCGTGTATTCAAGCCACTCTTATTTTGTAATGGCCCCAAAGTGCAAGAGTAGTGTTGCTGGCAATTTGGATACACCAAAGCACTGTCAAGTGCTTCCTTCAAGTGAAAAGGTAAAAGTTCTCGACTTAATAAGGAAAGAAAAAAAAATATGCTGAAGTTGCTGAGGTCTGTGGTAAAAATGAACCTTCTTCATGTGAAATTGCAAAGAAGGACAGAGAAATTTATGCTTCACACTCCAAACTGCAAAAGTTCTAGCCACAGTGAGTGATAAGTGCTTAGTTAAGATGGAAAAGGCATTACATTTTTGGGTAGAAGATAGGAACAGAAACATGCCCTGATTGACGACAGTTGGAGTTGGTGCTATCTGAGATTTCAGGTATCCACTTGGGGTTGAAATGCATTTCCCAGTGATAATGGAGGACTACTGAATGTTGATGAAACTAGGGTAAATTTATCTAATGTTTAATTTTCTTACATCTAGGACAATTTCTTCATGAACAACAAACCCCAAAGATACCAAGACAAGCTACCAGATAGTGGTGATTCTATGCTTAGGATCAGCACTATTGCTTCAGCCATCACAGAGGCATCAGTTAATGCTGATCCTTCCCAACTTGCTGCTATGATCAAGGCACTTTCAAATAAAACCAGAGACAAGACTTTTCAGGAAGATGAGAAACTAAAGGACTGTTCTCATGTGTGTCATTTCTTACCTAATGATTTAGAAAAAAGTAATGGATCCAATGCATTTGATATGGAGAAATATCTTAGAAAAACAGAAATTAGTAGATTTGAAAATGGAATGGAAAACTTTTCAAGGGCTGGTATATCTGATATTTGGGATTTATCTTTGCCCAAAGAACCAACTGCTCAAGATATTCATACAGTGGATGTAAGTGCTACTAGTATAAGTATGAGGGAACCAGAAGAAAACACAGCAGCTGTTGTTCATGTTGAAAATGGGGAGAGTGAGAACCAAGAGTCATTTAGAACTATAAACTTTTCAAATTCACTTACAAATATGAGAGAGAATGGCAGTGCAATAGTTGATGTGAAGACATGTTCCATTGACGACAAATTAGCAGATGTTGGTAACAGTGAAAAAGCCACCTCAATTTCTACTCCATCTGATAGTTATTCATCAGTGAAGAACCCCAGCATAACATCCCTTTGTCTGTTAAAAGACTGTGAAGAAATACGAGATAATAGAGAAAATCAGAGGCAGAATGAGTGTGTCACTGAAACAAGCAGCAGTGAAAAGCATGTGACTTTTGAAAACCATTGCATAGTCTCACCTAAAAATAGCGGTAAGTGTATGAGTTATTGGTCACATTCGTAAAATTACAAAGTTTATTTTCTCTTCTCACTGGAAAATACTCCCATCTGATAGATTTGAAAAAGACCTCTCCTGAGCATGGTGGACGTGGCTCAGAGGATGAACAGGAGAGCTTCAGACCTTCCACATCACCACTGAGTCATTCTTCTCCTAGTGAAATGTCCGGAACAAGTTCATCAGGGTAAGTGTGTACCTTCTTTTTTAAAAATTAAAAATACGTGCTAAGTATAGGAAATTGGAAAACAGTGTAAAGAAGAAAAATTATTCATCTGTGCATTCATCTCTCAAAGATAATTCTTGTAAGCTGTGAATTTCTTTCCAGCTATTTTTCTGTGCAAATTTTTGTACACTGCCTTTTTTTCACTCATTGTAACAATTATTCAATGAATTTAAAAGAAAACTAGTAATGTTACATACTGCATAATGGATCTGTCATGGTTCATTTGATACTTCTGGTGAGCACTTTGTATCTTAACTGTTTTGCTATCTACATGATATTGGGATGAATAACTGTTCATAAAATTTTAATTTTATGAATGTCTTTTGTGGCTTTATAAGAAATCTTTTATATGTTTATAGAAAGAGTCTAATAAATGGAAAATTTTGCCTAACCAGTGAAATTAACAAAAATGTTAAATGTAGCTTTGATTTCTTTCAAAATACTGGATTTCAAAGATATCTATTAACTATTTCCCAAGCTGCCATTAAAATTTTTCATATTCATCTGAAGCAACATGGTAATGGTGCTAATTATCAGTGGAGAGCTTAGGTCTTTCTCTGACTCCTTATGGATGTCTCAGTTTCACTTTCATATACAACGTCACTTCTTGTTTAATAGTTAATTGCATTTTATTTTTATTTATTTATTTTTTTTTTTTGAGAGGGAGTCTCGCTTGTGGTCCAGGCTGGAGTGCAGTGGCGCGGTTTCAACTCACTACAACCTCTGCCTCCTTGGTTCAAGTGATTCTCCTGCCTCAGTCTCCCAAGTAGCTGGGACCACAGGCACGTGACACCATACCTGGGTAATTTTTGTATTTTTAGTAGAGATGGGGTTTCACTATGTTGACCAGGGTGATCTCAAACTCTTGACTTCAGGTGATCCACCTGCCTTGGCCTCCCAAAGTGCTGGGATTACAGGCATGAGCTACTACACCCGGCCTGCATATTTTAGCAGATATATTACTGGTCACTCAGCCCAAAGCAAATTTGAAGATCATGTGGCCGTGACATGGCATAGTATGTTTAAAGTCTTTGGCTTATACATTCTTCTCTTATGTTTCTTATAGGTATTGCTTTATTGTCTCTATGGAAGACTAGAGGGATATATGAGACTAGGCTGATTTCTTTTTGCCTTTGAATTGACTTGATCTTTTTGCAAGTTTTTGCCCAAATTCTTTATTTTTCGTCTAATAATTTTTTAAGGCTATATCTCTGTGTTGATTCTTCATTATTACTTTGGTATATCATACAATATGCCCCCTCTTTTATTTTGCATGTGTTCTTGCAGTTCACTTTTCATTATTTGAGGAAATTTTACCTAAACGCACTTGTTCTTGTTAACCAAAGAAGTCAAACTAATACAGCACATCATCCAGTGACTCAGAACATTTTCCGTGCTATATCATGCTGTGTCTGTGTGTGTATGTGTATGCATGTGCATGCACGTGTCCATGTGCATACAGAAACCCATGTAGGTACATGTCATGCAGAAGCTAAAGAAGCCCTGAATCAATTTGGTTAGTAATACTTTGTTGCCATTGGTTAGAAACTTACTAAGTGGTATTTTGACACCATCTTGATTTGGGACTTTTTAAAAGTTCAGAATACAAATGTGAATTTTCTGTATATGTCCATTGCCTAGCTGAATATTCTGAACTTTGTACAAAAAAGAAAGATGGTGGAATCCAGTCAAGTGAAGGGCTGAATTGAAGTTAACTGGCAGAGCATAGGTGTGGAGACTGTTTCCAAAGGTGGCTTGACACTTACTTCCTATCCCCTGTGCTCTTTTACACTGTGACTTTGCAGCTTCTCCTCAAGAGGTGCAGTCTCTTTTCTCCTCCTTGCCCCTCAGCCCTATGAAAGGTGCTAATGAACAGAATAATGAGGAAGTAACCCTGGTGTATGTGTAGATAGGGGTGGGACTCACTATTTGTCGCTTTCTGATCTTTTCATTTTACGTTTTATTGCAGGGACATCTGTCTGAGCCACAGCTAGAACAACATGCTTTTGAATGGTCGCATAGTGTTGTATTGCATGTCTGTCCTCTGATTTTTGTAGTTTACTTCCTCCTGTGTGATTTAAGATTTCCCACTTATTATCCACAGTGAAGTGATGACATGTCCTTTTTGCGAAGTCTTTATATTTATCATTAATTTTTTTTCCTCAGGATAAATTCCTAGATGTAGAATGTCTGAGTCAAGAAGCCTTTGATATGTACCGCTTAATTGCTCAACCAAAAGTTGTGCCACTTGATAGTCTCATAGTGGTGTGTGACCATTTCCATTTCTTTGCACTTATCTGTGTGATTTTTTTTTCCTCTTTGCTCTTTGAGGGTGGGAATTCTTGAATGCTTCTTTTCATTTCCCTATATCAGATACTCAGCAGATTTTTATAGAATGAATATCTAACATTGCTGTGTGTCTTTATATGGTATTTGTTAATGAAAATGCCACAATACATTTTATAGTAGCTAAACAGATGCTTCATTCAGTGGGAATATCCTTTACAATTTTAGATAATTAATTTTAAACATTGGATTTGTGATTGAGTTATTTGCAAGATTATAGGCACATAGGAATGATTTTTTGCTAATATAGATAGCTGGAGGACTGGAGAATTCCTGATGTGAGCTACTCTTCTTTTTCAGATGCACGTTAGAGACCTTTGGTTCAGCAGCTCAGCAGCAGCAGCCTCCCTGTGAGCAGGAATTGTCTCTCTTGGCCTGCTCGCCTGCTGGTATGAGCAGGCTGACGTATGTGTCCCAACCAGAGAGCTCCTATCCTACCACAACCACAGATGATGGCCTGGAGGACTGCAAGGTGGGCAGCCACTTGGATTATTTATTACTAAGGCTGTCAACTCGTAAAGTATTACAGATGTTTGATTCAGACTACAGTTCAAGCCTGTAAAACTTCTGTTTCTCTTTTACCTTTAAAATGATTATTGTATGTGTACACATATTAAATACCTACTCATGCTGGTAGTCACAGAGGTACAGATATTTTAGGGTCTGCCCTCAAAGAGCTCTGTCTGGCAAGGCACATTGTGTAATGAAGTGCACCATGCTGCTCACATACTATGGGGACTCAGAAGGTGGGGGTTGGAAGTCTGATTGCCTGGAGGGTGCTTCAGCAAAGGTTTTTGGCAGGAATAAATACACTGAAGCCATACTCTGCAGGACTGCTAGGAGTTAGGCAGAGAGGAAGCAGAGTTAACACACGGGGAGGTGGAGAGTTGTAAGATACACACTGCATCTGAGGTGCTCCAGGAAGTTTAGAATAGCCACAGTGACTCATGTCAGTAGGGAGAAGTAGATGAGGCTAGAAGAGGGGTGGCCAAACCGTGAACCGTGCTGATTTTAAAATATCAGGGTTTGAAGGCTTTTAAGCAGGTCACTGTCATGATCTGTTTTGATTTTGTTTTTTGTGTTTTTTAGAAATGGTCTTGTTCTGTCACCCAGGCTGGATTACGGTGACACGATTACAGCTCACTACAGCCTGGGACTCCTAGTCTCAGATGATCCTCCTGCCCCAGCCTCCCAAGTAGCTGGGATTACAGGTGTGCACTAATCACACCTAGCTAATTTTTAATTTTTTCGTAGAGACTGGGTCTTGTTATGTTCCTCATGCTGATCTTGTACTCCTGGGCTCAGGTGTTCCTTCTGCCTTGGCCTCTCGAGTAGCTGGGTCTATAGGTGCCCACCACCACACCTGGCTAATTAAAAAAATTTTTTTTGCTAGAGACAGGGTCTTGCTATGTTGCCAGGGCTGGTCTTGAACTCCTGGCCTCAAGTGATCTTCTTGCCTTAGCCTCCCAAAGTGTTGGGATTACAGGCATGAGCCACCAAGCCGAGGCTGGTTTGATGTTTTAAAAGCTCACTTCAACAGCAGTGAAGAAGGAGGGATCAGGAGGAACAAAATTAAAATCGGAGATTTGTCATGAGACCACTGTAGTGGTTCAGGCAAGATACAGTGCTCACTTAGGCCAAGGCAATAGCAGTGGGGATAGAATAGAAGATCAGAGAGATTTATGTGGGAGTAGCTAGTGTTACCTGTTTTTGTGTGTGTATGTTGTGGATGTGAAAGTGTTCAGTTTTTTAATGAGCTAACTATGACTGCTGTGGGTATGCTGCATAGTCCTTTTCCACCAAGCTACTGAAGAATTACTGAATACACAGCATAGTGTTAGAGCATTACACTCTTTTCTTTGATAGCTGTCTTTTTCACGTTGTTGTTGATATTGAGTCTGCATACTCTTAACGTAGTGGTTGAGCGCTGGGCTATCGTGTCAGATAACTTATCTTCTGCCTCCTCAGACAGATTACTAAACTTCCCTCAAAACCTGTTTCTTCATCTGTAAGGAGGAATAGTATGTGAGGGCAGTGCTGGTCACCTAGTAAGTCACCACTGGATACATATTGTTATTATTAATTGGCAAATAATACAGTCTTTGTGTCTTAGTGTCTTTATTTCTGAAGCTTTGGCCAGGAGAAATTTATAAACCAAGTACCAAAGCAGTCAGTGAAGGTTACATCTATCTAGTCTCCAAATTTCAGCTGGTCCAACCCACAGAGCTGTAGGTGTTACTCCTCAGGTTATGTATTATGTACAAAGAAATAAGTGTGGACATTTACTGGGATTGTTAATTTCATGCTTCATAGAACCACAAAAGTTTAGAAATGGGAGAGGGCTTAGAACACATAAAAGTTAACATCTTTGGCTGGGCTTGGTGGCTCACACCTGTAATCCCAGCACTTTGGGAGGCTGAGGTGGGCGGATCACCTGAGGTCAAGAGTTCAAGACCATCCTGGCCAACATGGTGAAACCCCATCTCTACTAAAATACAAAAAAATTAGCAGGGCGTGGTGGCAGGTGCCTGTAATCTCAGCTACTTGGGAGGCTGAGGCAGGAGAATGGCTTGAACCCGGGAGGTGGTGGTTGCAGTGAGCTGAGGTTGCGCCATTGCGCTCCAGCCTGGGCAACAGGAGCAAGACTCCATCTCAAAAAATCAAAACAAAAAAAAGTTAACATCTTTGAATCTTCAAGCTTAGGCAGCAGCATGGACAGATGGTGGGATGGGGCCCTGCTAGCCTACTAAGCTAATGCCTGACCTCAAGGTTGTTATTTCAAACTTGCTTGCCCCCCCCCCAACTCATTCATTACTAATTTATTCAGATTTTTATTGTAAAGTTTACACAAATCCCTTAAATCTTAGAAAACTTATTAGACCTGATTCTTTATCTGTGTAAAATTTTCAGATATACTTAGCGTATATCTCCTATTTATTTTATTATAATTCTTTTTACAAAACAACAAACACAAATTTTCTAATGTAAGCCTGCATTTCACAACTGCAAGACTACTTTTTTTGTGTAAATGAATTTTCAAAGAGAAACTTCATGGACATCTCTTTGTTACTTGAGCTTATACCAGCATAGTTTCTAATTGTTATATTAAGTTTATCTGTGGATTATTAAAAATAAATTTTGTTGCACTCAGAGTGATATCACCAGCGAGTTGAGCACCACAATTATTCAAGCCAGTCCAGCCCCATTGGAGGAACGGGATATGGAAAAATTGAGAGAAAAAGTTCCATTTCAGAATAGAGGGAAAGGAACATTGTCATCTATTATCCAGAACAACTCTAATACTAGAAAAGCAACTGAAACTACTTCTCTGAGTAGCAAGCCTGAATATGTGAAACCTGACTTTAGATGGAGTAAAGATCCTTCCTCCAAAAGTGGAAATCTGTTGGAAACCAGTGAGGTAGATTTGACATCAAACCCTGAGGAATTGGACCCAATCAGGCTGGCTCTCCTGGGCAAGTCAGGTCTGAGCTGTCAGGTGGGGTCAGCCACATCACACCCTGTGTCCTGTCAGGAGCCTGTAGATGGTGATCGAAGAATAATTCCTAAAGATATGTCAACTGCTAGCCATGAGTTCAGTGGCCGGGTTTCTCATCAGACCACCTCTGAAAGCCAGTGCGCTCCTATTCCCACAAGCACAGTTCATGGTTCTGTGACTGACATGCGGAGCATGCCTGCTGCTCTGCATGCAGTCTTGATGCAACCCTCTCTCAGCACAGCTCCCTTCGCTCAGCAGTATTTGGGAACTCTCCCTTCAGCTGGAAGTGCCGCCTTGCCTCAGTGCCATGCTGGCAGTGCCACAGTCTGTGGCTTCTCAGGAGGCCTTCCCTATCCAGCTGTTGGAGGAGAGCCTGTGCAGAACTCAGTGGCTATGGGAATTTGTCTAGGACCAAATATCAGCTCTGGATGGATGGGTACCTCTTCCGTCTGTAACCCATATTGTAAATCCTTAAATGAGAACCTGCTAAGCACAGCAAAACCTTTCCCTGTGCCGTCTGTTGGTACGAACTGTGGAACTGAACCATGGGATTCAGGAATGACATCAGGATTGGGTAAGATGCTTTTTCTCTGTTATTGTTGCTTGCTATTATTTTCTCAAATGATACCACAAAGCTAGTTTGTTTCAAGGAGTTACCGGTTAGCATTAATTCTTTGTAAGTTTTGTGTTTCTTCCTAAACTGAGAACACCATAATATATTTCCGTGCAAGGATCCCTGAAGTTGGCTTAGAAAAAACGTTGCACTATGCAGGTGACAGGCTGCATATGACTTTGTCTTCTTTGTCTCTCTTTTGTTCTGCCATTGCAGTTTTATGGTTATTTCACATAGGAAATAGCAGTTAAGAGTTGAATGCCAGAATGAGTGAGCGCTTCCACCTGTGAGTCTCTGGGTGGCTGTTGTGGTGGAGAGGCAGCACTCAGGTGTGTCTATGGGGCAGCTTCTCTCTTGCTGACCGTCACTCTGCCTGCCGAGCTGGTAGCTGTGCTTTTCCTGACATGGTACACACTGCAACTGGGGTGCTGTCTTCTCTGCCCTCTGGAGCACCTATGTGAGGATGTTGGAAGATAGGTGGTATTGTTAAAATCTGATAGGTGTCCACATCTGGAAAGAGCCTCTGGAGTTTGTTTGTTTTTAGCATAAGCAGTGACATGATTTATCAGAGAAAGGGAAGAGATTGCTTACAGGCACTAACCTCAAAGAATTGATTAACTGTAATTGCGAGCTTGATCCAATTTTAATTTTCTTTTCCTGAGCTGGATGGAAGCAGGACAAAATTGTTGGCAGGCCTCTGAGGCTCATGCAACGTCAAGGACTCCATCTGGAGCGCTTTGACTCTAGCTCTGAAGTGTAAACAGGCCATCTTATAAACTCATTGCCATTTAACAGATTTGGCTTATAATCAGGGGTTTGCTGTAACTTGCATTTTTGACTGTGTTTTATTCTCACCCAGGGAGTGTCCGAGTGCCTGAGGAGTTGAAGCTTCCTCATGCCTGCTGTGTCGGGATCGCTTCCCAGACCCTCCTCAGTGTGCTCAACCCAACGGACCGTTGGCTGCAAGTCAGCATTGGGGTCCTCAGCGTTTGTGTTAATGGTGAAAAGGTAGTTTTCTGTGTCTTTCTCATTTAACCTAACAGTTGCATTGTGATTAGGTGCTTGATTTCCCCTGACACAGTCATTGCCATGGCATCTTTTTCTCAGGCCCCTTTTGTTCTAGTGCTTATAGAGTGTAGAGTGAAACAGTATGTTTTGCATTTTCCATCATTTTTTAGTATTTACATTTTATTGTTATTTATTTGTAAAATCCTATAAATTTGCTTTTAGTGTTATTTAAATCATTAAAAGCACTGAGTTTGTGGTTGCTACTTGTTAGTTTTGTTAAAGGTGATTGAATATAAGGTAACTACAATTTTTTTTTAAAAAAAGGAAAGCAGTTACTCTTGGAGCTTATGGCTTCATTTGGCAAGGGGAGTCTTTTTGACTAATTTATTTGATGATTTTCTTACATGAGCTTTTGAAATACCTGGAAATGCAGTTTTAATATGAATTCTTGTGACAGAGGCCTCTTACATAATCAACTACAGCTGCTATAATTCTAGACTCTAAATCTTCTCTCCTGGTTACAGTGACCATTCAAATATCGATGAGTAGGGAGGGGATGTATATGGTCAGCCGCTGTTTTGAAATATCCCAGTTTTACGACCGTTGCTTGCGAACCAGCATTGGTGGATGTGTTTCCTCTTCCCTTGTGCCTCTTAGTGGCCATTGTTTGCCTGGTAAAATAAGATTGCCTCCCCACAATCTTGGCTTTTCCCCTCTACTTCAAGTCCTCAGGTTAGATGAAAAGCCGGTGATTGAAGGAAAGGGTTGAGGGTGGAAGGCGGGCTGTGGAGACTTTCTAGGGGCATCTTAGAGTCTGTGAATGAAGCAGTGTTGTCTTTGGAAGTGGGGAGTAGAAAAGAAGATCCCCATTGACAGTGAGGAGGGAGGACAGCTGGAGTTGTCACTGCAATCTAGGTGGGGTCAGGGCTGTGGGACCACAGCGATTGGCCTGACTCTTCCCCCCCACCCCCCGTTCGGCATTGTGTGTCCTAGAGAGATTTAGAGGGCTATGAAAGAGTGACCCTCGTCAGTGCCCTTTTTAAGACAACTGAGGGTACAGGTCAATATGTCTGCTTGGAGATGGACTGGGGAGACAGACTTGGTGCAGCAAGAACATACAACTTGTGAAGCATTTGACACATTGTACTTTAGAGACCACGAGTGACAAGGTTTTGACATTTCTGAGGAGATAATAAATGTCTAAATTTGGCAGTTTGATTGATTAGGAAAAAGGAATCTTAAACTAGGTAATTCTACTTGATTTTCAGTGTGAAGCCATTAATAACAAACTTTGTGGCTCTTGTTTGAAGGTGGATCTTTCAACACATCATTGTTTAGTTTTCAAGAATAAAGTCATCATAAGACCTCATGCCACAGAAGAGATAAAAGTGCTTTTTATACCATCCAGTCCTGGGGTTTTCAGATGCACATTCAGTGTTGCTTCTTGGCCATGTTCAACAGATGCTGAGACTATCGTACAGGCGGAAGCTTTGGCCAGCACCGTCACTCTCACTGCCGTTGCCGAGAGTCCTGCTATTGAGGTATCTGTTTGTAAATGAGTCATTGTCATACCTGGCGTTTTAAAGAAGACTGTTTAACCGTAGAAGTAAAATTTGGGGAAAAGAAATTTGTGAACAAAAATGCTACAAAAGTAGTTTCAAGCTAAACTTTGTTTCTCAATGTCTTTTTATTCCAAAATTTAAAATTATTTTTAGTTTTACAGAAACACAAGTATACTTGCTAAGATGTCTATAAAGCAGAGTATAAGGTTAAACACTATTTTCCAACTGATTTCCATTGTTTAATTAGATGTGCACTTAGCAACATGCCAGTGGTTCATATTCTTTTTATATTTCTGCACCTGGAGATTATTTGCTGGCTAGAAAAGTTTCCCTTCTCCAGTCTCCTATTTTCTGGAAGCTAAAGAAATTAGGTCTAGCCAAGTTGGGATAGTAAATGGTCATTGGATTATATGCTCATTTAGGATGATGGTTCTCAACCCTGGCTGCACATTGGAATAATACTGGGGTTTTTTAAATGTACCCCAATACCTGAGTCCCACATAGACTGACTAAATCAGAGTGAGGGAGGGGGTGGCTACCTCTCGGTAATTTTTAAATCTTCCCAGATGATTACAAAACAGCCTTAGTTAACAACCACCGCTTTACAAGAGCTGTCTCCTCTTAGTTGATAGTGAAATCAGAACTAATATACTGAATGAAATTAAGGAATGTGGGAGGGAGAGATGGGGGGGTGCAGGACAGCGGAAAAGCAGAACAGGTCTTGATACAGTAATGGGTCACTTAACAGGGATATGCCCTGAGAAATGTGTCCTTAGGCAATTTTGTCATTGTGTAAATATCACAGAGTGTACATACACCAACCTAGATGGCATAGCCTTCTACACACCTAGACTATCTGGGAAAGTCCATTGTTCCTAGGCTATGCACCATTGTTACCATATAGCTTGTTACTGTACTTAATACTGTAGGCAGCTGTAACACAATGGTAAGTATTTCTATATCTAAACATAGAAACGGTACAGAAAAAATGCATTATCAAAGATTTTAAAATGGTACATCTTATAGGGCACTTACTAGAGGACTAGAAGTTGCTCTCGGTAAGTCAGTGATGAGTGAATGTAAAGGCCTAGGACATTACTGTACACTCTTGTAGACATTATAAACACTGTACATTTAGGCTACACCAAATTCATAAAAGTATAATTATACTATGATGTTATGATGGCTATGATATCACTAGGTGTTAGGAATTTTCCATCTCCATTATAATCTTATGGGACCACTGTCTTGTATACAGTCCATCATTGACCAAAACATCATTATGTAGGATGTGACTTTTAACTAACTTTAAAAGTTAGTTGATTTCAGCTGGGCACTGGCACACATCTGTCAAGGTGGGTGGGTTGCTTGAGCCCAGTAGTTCAAGACCAGCCTGGGCAACATAGTGAGACTTTGTCTCTACACAAAATTTTAAAAATTAGCTGGGTGTAGTGGTGCATGCTTGTGATGCCAACTCCTCCAGAAGCTAAGGTGGGAGGATCACTTGAACTCAGGAGTTTGAGGCTATCATAAGCTGTAATCACACCACTGCACTCTAGCCTGGGCAACAGAGCAAGACCCAACCTCAAAAAGAAAAATATTATTTGATTTCCTAACATATGAGTTGAATTTAACATATTTAGCTAACCACACTTAACAGGTGTACTGATGTCCTCCTAAAGTTAGTTAGTTGTTTCAAGCCAGGTGCAGTGGCTCATGCCTGTAATCCCAGCACTTTAGGAAGCCAAGGTGGGTGGATCACCTGAGGTTAGGAGTTTGAGACAAGCCTGACAACATGGCGAAACCCAGTCTCTACTAAAAATACAAAACTTAGTCAGGCTTGGTAGTGCATGCCTGTAATCCCACCTACTCAGGAGGCTGAGGCGGGAGAATTGCTTGAACCCAAGAGGCAGAGTTTACAGTGAGCTGAGATCACGCTATTACAATCCACCCTGGATGACAGAGCGAGACTGTGTCTCAAAAAAAATAATTAGTTGTTTTATTCCACAAAGCTGTAACTGTGACTTGCAATTTAGAGGTGGGTGTTCGGGATGAAGGACAGGGCAGCTACTCTGGGAGACTGGTGAGAATCATAGGGTTTTCCTCATAGTACACGTTCTTCAGGGGAATGCTTAGTAACCTAACTTAACAACTTTATTTTCTTATGGGCGTGAAGGAGGAAATCAATTGTAAATGTTCTCATAAACTTTTTTCACGTTTTAGTATTCCTGTACCCTTATGTTGTTATCTGCACATGTTAAAAACTTTTAGTGATCTTTTCTTTTTTGCGTAAGTGCCATTTTATATACTTCTCAGTCAGCTCTGCTCTGCTTGCCCTTCACTAGGTCAGGGTTTTTCAGCATTAACCCTATTGGTATTTTGGGCTAGAAAATTCTTTGAGGGTGGAGAGGGCTGTCTCCAGCAGTATAGGATGTTTAGCAGTGTCCCTGGCCTCTACTCACTGGATGTCAGTAATACCCCTTACCCCACTGTGATAACCATAACGTCTCCAAACAGGGTCAAGCCACCTCTGGTAGGAAGCACTGAGAACCGGTGCTATTAACTTCCTGCATTTCAATACATTCTACTATATTAGGCTGTTCAGCTTGCCCTTAAAGCTGCTTACCTTTCTGTAGCAGACATGATAAATCACCTCTATGCAATATTTGGCATTGTTGTGTCTCAAGCGGCTCGCATATAGCAATGGTGTTTGGTAGTGGAAGGCAGTGGTTCCCTACTGATATGCTCGTTGGAATCACCTGATGAATTTCAAAAACTACTGATGTATGTGTCTGAGCTATGAGTCCAACAAACAGACAAATTTGGGAACCACTGGTATAGGGAATAGTTCAGTGTTATTCAGGCCAGTTAACGCTGCCTTCTTGGAGGAGTGGAACTAGAGGAATTAGGCACTGATGGCTCAGCAGGATTTGATTACGGAACAACATTCCATATGAGACAGTGTTCAGGAATTATACACAGGCCATATGCATAGAAACTGTTAAATTACTTTCTCAACGTGAGAAAGGGGCTCCCAGTACATAATGCAAATGTTACAGTTTAAAGTATATGTACCGTTATTTTGGATAGATATTGCCAATTAGCTCTCTAACTTATATTTGCAGAAGAAATGTATGCAATACTGTTATTGCTAATGTTTGGTATTGTTAGATTTTTAAAAAAAAAATCATTCTGGAGTGGTATGTAATTTTTTGTATTCTTCATTTTTCTTTAAAATATTTTTGTGGGTACCTAAATAATTATATATATTTATCGGGTACATGAAATGTTTTGATGCAGACATGCAGTGTGATATAAGTACATCATGGAGAATAGGTTATCCCCTTAAGTATTTATCTTTTGTGTTACAAATAATCCAGTGATATTCTTCAAGTTATTTATTTATTGATTTATTTTTTAAATTTGTTTTATTGCATTTTAGGTTTTGGGGTACATGTGAAGAACATGCAAGATTGTTGCATAGGCACACACGTGGCAGTGTGATCTGCTGCTTTCCCCATCACCCACATCTAACACTTCTCCCCATGCTATCTCTCCCCAACTCCCCTACGCCCACTGTCCCTCCCCTATTTCCACCCAACAGACCCCAGTGTGTAGTGCTTCCCTCCCTGTGTCCATGTGTTCTCATTGTTCAACACCTGCCTATGAGTAAGAACATGCGGTGTTTGATTTTCTGTTCTTGTGTCACTTTGCTGAGAATGATGGTTTCCAGGTTCATCCATGTCCCTACAAAGGACGTGAACTCATCGTTTTTGATGGCTGCATAATATTCCATGGTGTATATGTGCCACATGTCCCCTGTCCAGTCTGTCATCGATGGGCATTTGGGTTGGTTCCAGGTCTTTGCTATTGTAAACAGTGCTGCAATGAAAATTCGTGTGCACGGTGTCCTTATAATAGAACAATTTATAATCCTTTGGATATATACCCAGTAATGGGATTGCTGGGTCAAATGGAATTTCTATTTCTAGGTCCTTGAGGAATC